CAGTTTATTTTGCTTTAACAGACTCTGTAATTAATTATGGTTTCGTAGTTTGGGGAAATACAAGTTTAGCAACGTTATCCAAGTTACAGGTAGCTCATAAATGGATCATAAAAATTATGCTTTTCAAACAGAAACGATATTCATCTGAACTTGTTTTTAGAAATACTGAACCTAGAACAGCTTTATTTAAAATCACTTATAAGATTTATGATGAAATATGATTTCTACAAAGAATACTTACAGCATGGCCAAAATACAAGAAGTGCTGCTCATGCAAAAGTAAAATTGCAAAACCCTAGACACACAGCTTGCCAGAGTCACGTTTACTGTATAGGTCCAAAAGTTAATAATGATGTGCCGAATAGTATTAAGAGATTGAGATATTCTACTGTTAAAAAGGAATTAACAAGATGGATTATTGATAGTCAATACGCCATTAATTATGTAATATAAGAACCTGTAGCATTAAAGGTATTAAGTTCCTAAAATTTAAGATAAAACATAATAGCTTTGAATTTGTTTGATCTATTTTTATATTTCTTTTTCTCTTTGTAAACTAGAATTAAGAACCTCAATGAAAAAGTTACACTTAACAATGTGAATGGGGTGCACACACAGTATTTTGAATACAATTGTGCATCTAAAACTATTAGCAATAGTGGGTAATTTTAAGAATAGATAGCTGGATTTAAATATTATACAATAATTGTAAGGTCTATATATTTAATATGATGTAAAAAACTGTATACATGTTGAATCTGCTGCTAATAAATTTACTTTACATTTTTTTGTAGATTCGGATAGGCCCTTTCAAACGAAGTAATGTTATATAACATAGCTTCTATTTTCAAATTGTTAAGATATTGGACATCTTGCACCTCCGCAACTGTTGTAGCTAAATAACTGAGTTTTACGTCATAAAAATTTAGTGGTTTCATATTTTCTCCCTATCTACTTAATTTTCCAATTGATTGTTTAGTTTGAACAGGGTGATCAAAAACACAAAATGAACGATTTATTAAAATTTTCTAATGGAACATCCTGTACACTTTCGTTCAACTGGTTTTTGGGGTACTAAAACACAGAACACCTTCTTGACTTTTCTATTTTATCGCATAAGGGTAGGTAGATTCAATTGATGATGAGAAAATACACAAATTCTGCATGTGCTATTACGAGGGATGTCTGTTACGTTTTGCATATAGAAACATAGTAGGCCGCGCGGATCGAACGTCAGTACTCAATCTTAACCTCAATCTTTAGTAAACTTAAATTCAAAGTTTCACAACAATACGAGCAGTGTTCTCACTACAGTGTCACCAAGTCATTAGAAAAATGGAACTCAACCGAGAACATTTTCGCGCCATAATTTATTACAACTCTCAGAGATAATTATCGCAACAAGACGGCAGTCACCCAGGAAAACGTCGATGCCGTGCGCAAACTCATCATTGAAGATTGACATGTGACATATCGCGAGATTGAGGCGTCCTTGAAGATCTCAAAGACCTCAATTCAACAATTTTACATGAAGAATTAGGAGTAAGAAAATTAGTTTCTCGTTGGATACCCCACCTCTTGACTGAAGAGCAGAAAGCAGCCAGGGTTAATTGGTGTCAAAAAACGCTTGACCGTTTCCATTCCGGAAACTCAAAAAATGTGTACAGCATTGTTAGTGGTGATGAATCGTGGATTTACTGTTATGAACCAGAAAATAAACGACAGTCGGCTGTTTAGGTGTTTCAAGGTGAAGAAAAGCCAACAAAAGTCATCCGTTCTCGTGTTACAAAAAAGATGGTCGCGACATTTGTGTCAAAAGCGGGTAATATTGCAACAATTCCTCTTAATGAGCAAAGAACTGTTACTGCGGATTGGTGTACCACCATTTGTTTGCTAAAAGTCATCAGCGAGCTTCGAAAAATCAACCCCGAAAGAAGAATCATCCTCCACCAAGACAATGCGAGCTCGCACACAGCCCAAAAAGCAAGGCAGTATTTAACGGAAGAAAACGTAGAATTATTGGACCATCCTCCATATAGTCCTAACGATTTCTTTACATTCCCGAAAATTAAAAACAGACTGAGTGGTCAAAGGTTCCAGTCCCCAGAAGAAGGAGTTGACGCATTCAAAAATGTCGTTTTGCCAGCAAACGAGTGGAGAATACTTCGAAAAACAATAAAGTCATTTAAAACTACCTACCGTGTTGTTTTATTTCTATATGCAAAACTTAAAAGACAACTAACTAAACGACTTTTTTACTTTTAAAGGTATTGTAATAATTTTCATTAAACTTGATATCCGATTTATAAAAACCATACAAACTCCCATAAACTTTATATAAAAAAGCTTGAAACAAGGCGAATCAAAAACTGTAAAAATATACAGGGTGTTCCATTTGAAAATTTCGAGAAATCGTTCATTAAGCGTACCTGACCACTCTGTATAGCCTATCAACGAAAAACTGAAACAGTTAATGAATACGAAAACTTGGAATGTTAAAATTCCTCTGACGAAAAATTTAGTACTCCAGCTGTAACAATTGCGGAGAGATGTGAGTTGTCAAAGTTGCGTGTTTTGTTTTTTCGGTAGATTGTCAAATATCTCGGCAATTTAGAAAAAAAAAAGATATATTATGTTATATCAAATTGCTTCATTTGAAAGAGCCTATCAAAATCTGCCGCAATTCTTTCTTTGCTCTTTCTTTTGTTTCCATTTAAAAAAAAAGAAAGTTTGGGTCACCACGTAGTTAAGAATCAACCTGTAGGAATAAAAATCATACTGTTGGCTACAATTTTTGTTGCTTTTATAGATGCCTTGCGTAAATAATTGAGTTATCAGAAATGAGACAGTGAAATTTCTTCAAATCTTGAGTAATATTGTAATGCCCTAAAAAATGCATATTGCAGTTTTATAAGCATTTCTATAAATATGTTTCTGGCAAAGACTGAAATAATACGATAAAATATACTAAGTGACATATAATTCCGAACACCCAGTTTAAATGGTTTTATTTTAATAAAAGTTGGTGAATGTATTTATCTTACTGTAAATAACAAGTGAAAGAATTTTCAGCCTTATCAGATGGACATTCCGGTTTTTATACTGCTTTTTTTTAATTCACTAACACTCTAAAAATGAATATTTCAGCCGCAGTAAAGAATCAACGTTGGCGGATTTTGGTTCTTGACATCCTTTACGATCGGTTACGATGCCTAGAGTACGGAGACCTGTACGATTTCGTCAACTTAGTGAGTTTGATAGGGGCCGTATAGTGAGACTTCGGGAAGCTGGACTTTCTTTTCGGGCAATGCAGTTAGAGTGCAAAGAAGTGTAGACACTGTGGTTAGGTGTTGTCAGGCATGGCTTCGAGAAGGCCGTACGCAAAGAGCAAGGGGCACTGGACGCCGCCGTAGAACAACAGACCGTGAAGATCGCCGCCTAAGATTATTGGCCTTAAGGGACCGTTTCTCCACTACCAGGTCCATTGCAAATGAATGGTTTGCAGAACACGGAAGACCTGGCATGCGAAGTGTTTACCGACGTATGAGAAGTTTTGGCTTGTTTTCATACCAGCCACACTGGGTCCTCCCTTTAACTCGAGAGCACCGACGTAATCGCCTTGAGTGGTGCAGACAACTGTCACTCTGGGATCAGGAATGGAACAGTATTGTCTTTAGTGACGAGTCTCGATTTTGTTTAGGCATGCACGATGGTCGTGTCAGGGTTAGAGGGCGACGTGGTGAAAGGAGGAATCCACAGTTTTTTGTTGAAAGACATGTTCATCACACTGTTGGAGTTATGGTTTGGGGTGCTATAGCTTATGGTTCCAGGTCACCTTTAATCTTCATCAGAGGTAACATGAACGCGCAGCGTTATATCCACGAAGTTCTAGAACCCCATCTTTTACCCTATGTTGACTCCCTGGCAGATCCAACTTTCCAACAAGATAATGCCCGACCACATGTTGCAAGAGTCACAATAGACTTCTTTCAACATAATGATGTCACATTGTTACCATGGCCACCAAGATCTCCCGACTTATCCCCAATTGAGCACGTGTGGGATATGATGGGTAGGAGATTGCTCAATTTGCAACGTCCTCCTCAGACTCTAGAAGCACTTCGAGAGGAGTTGGTGGTTGCCTGGAATGAGATACCACAGGAGGACATTGACCACCTGATCAGAAGCATGCCTAGGCGCGTTGGAGAATGCGTAGCACATCAGGGTGCATCCACACATTATTAAAGGTCAAAGGGCTTTAAAGCAGTGCAATCATTTTGAAATTTTTATCATTTACTTATTATGCTTCATTAAGTACTTATACAAAATTTTATTAAAATAAAACCATTTAAACTGGGTGTTCGGATTTATATGTCACTTAGTATATCATGCTTCCCGTGAGTAATATAGAGATTCAGGAACTAAACGGTGGCGCTTATTCAAACCATACAAAAACTGTATAGATACAGTACTTGGAACATATAAAAATATTATTCATTTCTATAAACGGTTATCAAACACAAGTACCACTTGATCGATAAAAAATGAAGTGGAATTAGCAATTGTCAGACATTTACATTCCCTATGATCGATGAGTTCAGAACCTTCCTGTGGCGTGACGAGAACAGACACCAAACAGTCCATAAGAAATTGGACCAAGAAAAATTCCTTAGAATGGTGGAACATCCAATTAAGGCAAAGGCAATAAGGGCCATCGTTTCTGCAGAGAGCATGAGGAAACCCCAGTGTCACTGTTAAGGCCTGCCAAGGCTACGGTTTCGAATAGTAGGAGCCACAAATCCAACAGTCAAAGCTATGGAGTCTGATTGAAACATCAAGGCTGGAAACAGTGCTTTAGAAAGTGTATATGGGGGCACAACAGATCCATTTGGGCCGCAGTGTCGTTCAAGCTAGCTTTTGTAAATTGCGAATGATCGTTGAGCTATATACGATTAGTAGTAGAATCACATCGCATGGTTAGTTCAAAATTAAAATCCTACCTTTTGGTCTGCTTCTCTACTAAGAATCTTCTTCAACCTCTGGTCTTTGGAAAACCTCTTCAATGTGCTCAAGCTCGCCAAAGATTCGTTTTGATTGTTGTTCAAAGGAGAATATCTGTTGTATGTGTCAAATACCCTTGCGGTCACCACGTCCACCATCTTGTTCACCCTGTGACAAGGAAACAAAGTCGTGTGTTAAGTCACAATATATACATGGTATCCCGGAAGTCGACTTCAAGCCGGAAACGGGGGATAGGTCAAGTCAAAATTATAAAAAAAAAATAAAATTTCTAGTAATGGGAAATAAAACATCACAGGGTGTAGATTTTTGCGATTTTTGAAATCCTATAATTTGAAAAGTACGCGATTTAGATTATTTTTTACATTTTTCTGATAACTATTACGAGCCCCTTCCCACTTCTGTTGGCTCACTTCAAGATTTGTACCAAAATATGCCTTTATAAACTAAACATGACGAAACTATTTACTTCTAAAACAATTTATTTTCTCAAAAACATTTTAGATACACTCTAGTCGTAAAAAATACATATTTGAAATCACTTAGACCTATAACTAATAGAACATCCGAACAAATAAACAATGTGCGTATAAATGCGCGAAGTTAACAAAGCAACAATTGAAAGATTACCATTGGGTAACATCACCTTTATTTTTTATTACGGCTGAAATTCTTTGGGGCATAGTGTTAACCAAGTTTTGGCAAAAATTTGATGTAAAACAATCCCATATTTCTTGAAGCTTTTGTCTCATTTCGGTGATTGTACGAGCAGGATGTTGTCGTAGAACCTTTTTCATCTCGTGCCACAAAGTTTCTATAGGTGACAGATCTGGACTGCTAGAAACCCATTTCAAAAGTGGTACATTATTTTCTTCGATCCATTTTATAGCCTTTTTTGAGGTATGGCACGCTACAGCATCTTGCTGAAAAACAAAATCTTGGCCGGATGTCAAACATTCTTCCATCACTGGTAAAAGCGATTTTTATAAAATTGCCTAATATTTGCTTGAATCCACATTTCCATCAATAAAATGAAGTTTTCCTACTCCTTTTGATGACATACTGCTCCAGACCATAATGGATGCTGGAAATTTCACTTTTCTCTTCAGACAGTCAACATGGAATGCTTCATTTTTTTTGCGAATAACTCTACTGCGACTGTCACTAACACAAACTTCGAATCGGGCCTCATCACTCCGTTGTATTGCACACCATTGTTGAGGTGTCCATTGTCTATGTTCTTTAGCCCGTCTAAGCCGATTTTTCTTTTGCAGTGGAGTTAATAGTGGCTTTTCTTTGGCCTATAAACAAGTTGTGCAACTTTAGGGTTTTTACTTCACTTTTTTTTATAAGAAAACTTACCTTGCAAGTGCTAAATCCCAGTTTGTAAGCCTCTCTATGAGTTGTGGACCTCAGTAACCGAATTTTCTCACTAATAACCTTTCCTCTACCCATATTAAAAACCTTAACTACCCAAAACTATTTTAAACGTATTCTGACAGTTGTGATTAATAAAAACAATTGTCCTTTTATTTTACACAGCCACCTGTGCGTTATAGACTTATTTTGCATATAATGAAAATAGGTTGATATGCTGTAATTGCAACATGTGTTATTTTTATGCTGCAAATTTGATTAGGGAGTGATAAAGTTGATGTTTTCTACTATATCAAAATATTCATTGTTAATATTTTAAACCTATAACATCCTGCTACATTTTTATTATTTGTGTTTGATAAGAAAAAAACTAAGATTTCAATAGTTGGGCCAACTGAAGTGGGAAGGGGCTCGTATGACTTGGCATATCCCCGTTTCAGGTATGACGTCGACTTCTGGGACGCCCTGTACACTTCTTCATATAACGGTCACACAATCAAGACATAATTAATCTTGAATCAATCATACTAAAAAGTTGTTGTGGTATGTGCTTTAATGATGTCTATTAATAGGTTTTTGACATCTTGTTCAAAAATATCCGATTTTTTCTGTCCAATTTTTGAAATCATATTTCCATACTTTCTCGAAAAATATCTATGCGACCGAGTTCAAATTTCGAGACCACACTAAGAGTTAAGGTATGTTTATGTCATGAGTCCATTGTTTTTAAAAATACTTGTTTTTTAGACAATGCTATTTGATCACTTTTCAAACAAACTCCTGTCGATATGTGGAAACATTTTTGAGATTATTAAAAAAATAAACGAGGTAATTCGATGAAAACATGTATTCGATAGGGTTTAATAATTGAGCTGCGATCTAGTGATCTAGTCTTTCAGCAACCTAGCGTATTCCCTTAATGAATTGCACAACTTAAAAGTTACATTTACATCGTGAACATAAAACACACAAAACACCCCGAAAATTCACTTAAAAAGAGAACTATGCACCATATCACTTCATGTCTCATCACCCATTCATCTTGGTAGTGGCACATTTTAGGGACCTATGTATATAGGATATTTTTTCTAATTCTTGGATGTAATTTCGACTGCAGAAATATGATCACGCATTTCTCATCCTACAAAGACTTTTTTTAAAGTCATAGATTAACTTTTATATGTCTACAATTTGGCGTACCATAGGTATCGATGGACTTTGTCCTTGAGTCAGTTGGTAGGTAACATAAAAATTTTGCATAGCTCTCAAGTGTTTGATAGCTTTTATGTTAATAGTTTTATAAGATTTTTTAATTGTTTCAATGAGCAGTTATCGTTAATTTGAAAGCACTGTGATATGTCACAAGGGGTGTCAGGCTCTAGAAGCTATCGATACGGTGTTGCCTAATAATAGACCGTAGTTGTGTAAAAGTGCGTACACCTGAAACAAATTCAAGTAGAAGAGTTCATATAAACATGCGTCCTAAAAAATCTGGTTTTCAAAATACACGGTGTCGAAGCTCGTCATTTCCACAATTTCTCAATCTGTTGTTACTTTTATTTCTTTAGATTTGAAAAAATGACATAAATACACAAATCTTTATTCAACAGATAATTTTTACAAATTTTATAGTACTCAGAGTTCACTAATCTGTGTTTAGAACACTAGCCTCGAGAACAAAAATATTTAGAGTGCGAATTTTAACAACAATAAATTCAACAATTCAAGTGACTTTCGAGTGTTTTTACATAATTTCTGAATAAATATACATTTTTTATACTCTTTGGTAGATTATTATATCTTTCTACTGCATCTGGTACTAATTATTATGTGATCTTGTTTCATCATGTGTTATCAGAAAACCCAGGTATTTGATGCTTGACACTTTTTCTACTTGACGTTATTTATTCTTATACTTTTCAACTAGTTTATTTTTCTGCTTAAAAATTAGATATTTTGTTTTATCGATGTTGATTCTCAGTTTATTCAAATATATCCAATTTCAGTCAAGAGCAAGATCTAAATTAACTTCATCACGCAGAGAATGCTCATGGTTTCTTTTGTAGAAAAGAACTGTGCCGTTAGCAAAACTAAAATACCTTGTATTAAGATTAGCAGTATTTAGATTTAGAACATACATAGAGTATAATAGTGGCCCCAAGACTGACCCTTGGGGGACACCATAGTCACTAGACGTAGACTTCATTATTTGTTTCAGCAATTTTCATATACTGTTTGGTTATATCAGGTAGTACATGTTAATTAATGAGATTATCAAACCTTAAAAACTTCGGTAGAAAGGAAACACGTTCTTATGCCATACTAAAATCGACATTTTAAGTATCGCAAATTTTGATAAGGAAAAAGTACACTACGCAGAATGGTCGGTCATCATGACCTTCATAAGAACATCTGGCAGGTCATTACCAAAAAACTTGCCTCCACACCCATCCCTTAGGTTATTCAGCCCAAAATAGACCTATCAGTACTAAGAGTAGATTTTTGAGTATCCACAGCCCTTACCATTTCAAGAAAAGGATAAAATATGTGACCAACGTCACTAGGGAAAGTTGCACAGCGCCGTATACCGTGAACAACATTTTGACACAAAACCACAAATCACTTCGAAATATCACTTAAGAAAAATGCACTATATCACTTCATGTCTCATCACCCTGGCGACTGATATTTTCAGTACTGTTCAGTACCGCTTGACCCCTACGATGAGTGCAAAACCTTTCGATAATCTCCGAACAATGTAAACAAATTTTAACTAAAATGTATATTCCCATGAATACAAATATATTTAAACAGTATTTGTATTATCTTCAACTGAGATTTGAGAAAATTCGATCATTATTAAAATTATCAATCGACGATAATACTATATGGAGATTGGTGGTTTTTTGATGCCCTGTGTCTAATCTTCGTCTAAAGTGTATATTTTTATCATATGAACGATATCGATTTAAGTGCCAGCTAGACAGACAAGGCGAAAACCTTGCATTCGTGGGAGACATTTTATGACTCTCAGAATTTTTCAACCGCGAATATTGAAACCAATTTTTCTCCAAACGGAGTAGTCTAAAACAAAATCTTAAGAGATGTGATCTATTTAGAACACAATACCTTACTTTAAAATGTAACAGGTATTTCAAGAAAGTCAGTGGCCGAGGAAATAATTTTATTTTTCCTTATGCAGGTGGTCATAATATCCTAATTTCTAAGTAATTGGCATTTTAAATCCATAATCTTTGCGGACAGTGAGCGAAAAAGCTCTACTAATGTAAAATATACTAAGTGACATATAAATCCGAACACCCAGTTTAAAAGTTGGTGAATGTATTTATCTTACTGTAAATAACAAGTGAAAAAATGTCCAGCCTTATCAGTTGGACATTCCGGTTTTTATACTGTTTTTTTTTTAATTCACTAACGCTCTAAAAATGAATATTTCAGCCGCAGTAAAGAATCAACGTTGGCGGATTTTGGTTCTTGACATCCTTTACGATCGCTTACGATGCCTAGAGTACGGAGACCTGTACGATTTCGTCAACTTAGTGAGTTTGATAGGGGCCGTATAGTGGGACTTCAGGAAGCTGGACTTTCTTTTCGGGCAATTGCAGTTAGAGTGCAAAGAAGTGTAGACACTGTGGTTAGGTGTTGTCAGGCATGGCTTCGAGAAGGCCGTACGCAAAGAGCAAGGGGCACTGGACGCCGCCGTAGAACAACAGACCGTGAAGATCGCCGCCTAAGATTATTGGCCTTAATGG